CAGTCGATAGAAGCCATAAAACAAAATAGGTATACAAATAGGTATATTCTGGAAAATTAAAGTTATAAATAAACAATTCTCTCATACCTTATGATCGATAGTTCGCACAAATAAATATAAGCAAACTTAACTAGAAATGGTGACATTTCGTGTCAACATCAATCACGTAACGGGGATAAAATATTTCATAATTACTTGGAAAATTGATATGCATGCTTTGGTTATTCTCTGCTTATTTTAACATTCTGTATAAAGCAAAAATTACCTTTTTTTTTTTGGAAACAATCTAGTCCACTGTATTTGCACATGACTAAGTTAATATATAATCATCATTTAAAAACTGGACTGATTAACATTTCACACAGAATAATGTTTATGTCGGAAAAAACTGTAATTTTTAGATCATGATTGCTTTTGACAAATTTTTTGTAAAAAAAAAATGTATAATTACCAAAATGTATCTAAATATTTCAGAAATATTTTAAACAGGTAAAATCTTATAAAATACTTATCCTTAATTCTTCAGTAAAGTCAAATGAAACCTGTTCTTGAATGTTAACAGAATAATCTGAAATATCTTGCTGCAGCTATTTTTTAGTCGTCGCTCTTGTAAATGTTAAAGATATCGAGTTTGGGATATTGCTAAATATCCTGTGCTATTCAAGTATCATTGTAATTAAAATTCCGAGTAAGAACGATATTCTAAAAATATATACCACAACGAGTTGTCATCAATTAGGAATAAAACATGTAAGCTACAATGCTGCGGCCTTTCTCAATTTGAATATTCAATGTAGATTTCAACAAATTTTTAAGGATTACTATACCACAGTTAATTCATTTGAAATTGGCACAGCGCTCGTGTTAAAAATAAAAAGAGCGCCATATGTATTTATTTGAATAGGTTATTTTTAGATATTGCATTGGCCGAATTGGGGTGGTGCTCAGAAAGTGTTAAAACTGGTTTTCTGTTGTTATTTAATTTTTCCGCAATAGGACGCTAATTAGCAGCTTTAACCAAATCTTAAACAATACAATACTAAAAAAACAATCCATTATCCACTATATTAAGTAAATTTTTAGAGTAAAATTTCTATGTTATGGGTTAAACCTTAACAGAATATTATTCAAATTAATCGATAGTGGGTTAACAAATACTTACGAAATTCTATACTCGGTCGATGTTTCGGTATATTTTAAAAACTAAAACATATATGAATACAATTTAACCTCAAAAAGTTAAGAATGTCTTAAAATATCATTGCCAAAAGTTGCAATTACAGAAACTGCAATATGTCTTCTGTTTTTGATGTTCAATATTCTACAAAATTAATGTACTTTTATTTATATATAAATGCAATTAACAATAATCATTAATACATGAGTGTTGTAATAAATAAATATATAAATGTAGAAACAATGTTATTGTTTAATTATAAAACTAAACATTTTCTAAAAATTCGTGCTTCATACTTTGCTGTCTCTTGAATATATTTCATTATTTTTGTTACCGTCTTTTGAGTAGTGTATAAATGGTATTGTCCATCATTTGACTAATTTTTTAACAGTTATCGCTGCAAGAAGTCATAGCAGGACGCCAAATATGCTTAATTTTATACCTTTGTACATAAACAATAATTTTCCTGAAAAAAAAAACAGCCAGATTCTCAATCTTGCTTAGATGTTTGTATGTTTTGATTTAACGTAAAAAAAGTATACATAAATGCTTATAAATAATTTCGCATTATAATATACAACTGGAATTTTTTGTATTATTCTTTAGTTTATGTTACGTTATATTCAACTCTAATATTTACATTTTTAGTTGATTTCAACTTAATATTTTAATTTTATATGCCTTATTCGTATGTTTTAGAGTTGATTGCATATTTTGTGATAGATAAGTTACAAATAACGAAATTGCATTCATGTTTCACTAAAAATATATAGTTTTTTTGTAAGACAAATGTCGTTAATTTTTTACCTTTGTTCTGAATGTTTCGCTGCCTTGTGGGGAAAATAAGAAACTAAAAATTGGCAACCCTAGGTGTGTACGTGAATACAATAATAATTAACAATTATGTTTCGCATCTCCGTTATTCCACGATTCATATTGGTAGGTACCAATACATGAACTGTGCATAGGATTAAAGAAAAAAGTACTTCGTAACAGTCCGTTACAACTTATTGACAGCTCAAAATTGCTCCATAACGTCAGGATTTTCCCTAACCTCAAAAAATAGCTCAAAATCTGCGGAAACCTCGAGATTTTTTGTTAAAATAGTTAAGATTTAAAAAATAAAGATAATAGGTCAAAATAAAAACTTTTTATTCTTGCAATTTTTCTTTAAATTGTATTTTTTAGGAATTAGTCATATTAATAATGCTCAAAATTGGTTAAAATGGCACAAGGAATCATTTTAGAGAAAAAAGGAATAAAAAAATATTTCATATTAACACGTCTGTTGGCTCCATCGTCTTCAGCGAGTCAAAATACAGGGGGGATTAGCATGCTATTAAAAATTATAAAAAAAAAAAATTGTGTGCTTGTGTAATCAAATGCCTAGACATCCTCATAAATAAAATATGCAAAATAATAAAATATTACAAATATAAAATACTGTTTCGTCCAAGAAGTGAAGAAAAAAAAGATATGATTTTGTTGACATTAATACATACTCTTCAATATTTTAAGTTTAATAATTTATATCAATTATTATTTGTAACATAACACGTTGCACTAACAGGCGATCAAACTGCTTAAAGTTATTATAAAAATACATATATCATTATATCAGTCATAAACCTATAATTAATTCCTTAAACTAATAATTTTACTATTATTAAATTATATCATGATCATTATCAATTTTAATACACTTTCTAGCAAATAAATAAACAATTCACTACTTCTTTATCTAAGATTACTGAATTCGGTTAAAAAAGATCAAAATGTAGACGTAATGAAATTGCTGATTTAAACACGCTGTGGTAAGTCTAGTGTGGGCAAAATTGCAATAATCAAGTGCCTTTGTTATTAGTGGATAGTGTTTTATTACAGTGGCACATAATTACAGTAATCACGAATTGGTGATATTATGCCATCGACATATAGTAATTGTACACAAAATGCGGCGTCTGCAAAACGAGTGTACGCCAATCGTTTTCTATATTTGTCATGTACCAAACGTTGGGAAATTTATAATACCCGCTTGATACTAACCGCGATTGGTTACAAAGTTACAATCCCATGGATTATGTGACGGAAGTCACAATAGGTACTAGACGTATTATCAAGTATTAAAAGAATGGTGTCAGTTTTGTACACAAAGGGTCCATGCCCTGCTACCCATACAGTAAGATCTTTTACGTGTAGACTTTTGCGAGCAAATCATCAACAACGCCAGGACTTCCCTGCTACAATTTTATTCTCAGACGAAGCTATTTTTACCCGCAACGGAATTTTTAATTTTCGGAATATACACCCGCGTTCTATAGAAAATCTCACAATCCGCCGTACTAATTTCCAATATCGCTTCTCCGTTAATCTTTTGGGTGCCAGATCGCCTGACTGGACAATATTATTTTAACTTTTTTGGAAAATGATTCTTAAAGAAGTACTTTTTGATGTACGTCAGGCAATGTGGTATTGTCTGAAGTTACACAGTTTTCGTTTTTGTTTTCTTTATTTATTGGATATTTTGCCACCTGTGAGCAAAATTAACAAAAAATAATTTTGCCTACCAAAATTTTACAATGACGATTTTCAAACTATTTCAATAATTTTTATGTGTTCTTAAAATTAGAAATTTAAATATAGGTACTTTTTTAATGGCTAAAGTTAGAAATCAGAAAACAGTTTATTTCATTTATTGGATAAAATAAAGTAAATATGATGCCACTACAGGTAATTTGTTTTACTGACTTCTCTTTACAAATTTCAAATACAGAAGTATTCGAATTAGGTATGTTTAATATGGCAAAACATTAAGGTTATTTCGACAGTTATATCTCAACAACAAATATGAAATCTATAATTAGATTTGACGTTCGGTAAATGATTAAAATGTGTTTTTTTATTATTGCTAGACCGTAATTTTAAGACATTCGTGTCGGCAATAACAATTCCTATATTTATGATTTTATTTACAACCTAAATTTGCATATAATAAGCAGAAAGGAATTACTCATCGAATAATTACAGAAATGTAATTCCAGGCGCGTAATATTTTACATTCAAAAGGTAATTATACTAGGTGTTAAATTATTTTGTTGCCGCTCGTGAAGTATCAAACCATGTATGTAGTTTTCATTTCGGATTAAATTAAAATTGTAAATTGTCCACCCACATGAACTCATCGAGGTCATTTATTGTTTAGTTAACACATAGGTTGTTTAAAATTTACTATATATGTGTGTTTACAGTGACAAAAATAATACGTATTACATACCAGTCTAGCACATTTCTGGAAAACAGTAAATAAAATTAAAATATCACTTGATTTTTGACTTTTGTTAAATATATTTATTTTAAAGATTACTAGTTTTAAAAAGTAGAAACACCCATTTATTATTGCTTGAAAATTTTACTGTTTCGAAATAATTACATAATTGGAATATATTAATTTCAAGGTGAAATAAATAAAATCTCCACAGTTTGTGTTATCTTTAAAGAAATAGCCAGTGGGCGACTAATAACACGTTATTTATAAAATTGACATATCTGTTTCTTGCGCTCCAACGCATACGCCAAATGAAACTTCAAACAAAGATAATAAATTGGTCTAAATTTGTAGTGCTTTGCGAATACAATTGTTTAATATAACCCTCTATAAATTGCCAATTGCCAAAATAGCAAATCTAAACACGTCTTTATTTATGATATACTTTGATATCCCACATATTAAAAAAAAACACATATTTAATAGAGCAATAAACGATATACTACGTCATACCCCAGGAAGAAAAAATAAATTATTCAAACCCAATTCAGAACTTACCTAATCCTGCAAACGTGCCAGGTATCCTGTATCACACAACATGCACACAACACACTAGTTTCGTAGACCGTGGAAGAACGGTTCATGTGCTATTCTCAGATCAACTTGGCTTTGGACGCTGTTCAAATGTCAGCGCGTAGGTAAACCACCGCAATCGCGCACGCGTGGAGCTTTTGCAGAAATGTGTGGGCGCTCTGTTAATAACAATTAGAAATGCAAAGTGCCGAAACAGGTATTAATGTGTGCAGGTGAAACGGCACTCGGTGGAATGGCGCTTCTTAGAACTGAGAATACGTAATCCAGTAGGCCGCTGCAGGAATTCGCTTGCAGCAGGAATACTTTGTGGTGTTGCGATCTCAGTCAAAATGAAAATCGATGCAAATAAACATTTTGTTTAACAATTTCAGTTGTTTACTGTTACACTAACAGAACATCCAAAATCGACGTTTCACCGTATCAGTGTAAACATTAGACTAAATTTAGAATATCAAAAAATTGCTTATTTTAAATTTTATCTCCTTATCTTTTTACCTTCATAAATAAAATATCGGAGATTTTGTCAGTTTATTGTGTATCTACCTCCTGATTGTACATTGTACCTACTAAAAGATAACAAATATGTAATATCCGTAAATAATATGCACTTATACAGTGTGTCCGCATTAAGTTGGACATACGACCTTAAGATCGTCATTTTTGAAAGTTCGAATTCGAGTTTGATTACAAGGCCTAATGTAAGTATTCTTATATCTTTCCCAAGCAAAATTTAAAAAAACGCTGAATATTGTTAATTAATATTTACAAAAATTAGAGCACAATTTAATATGCAATCAAATCAGTATCCATACGCCAAAGGCATAGACACAATTATGATGCAATTTATGTTAAGCTTTATTCAATTGCGAACTGCATAAAATTGTACTCGTTTCATCAGTTGTAATGAAAAAAAAAAACAATCAAAATCGGGCTTTAACCAAATTTTTCTAAATATACAGGGTGTCTGGAAAGGTCATGTCAAAAATAAAGGGATATACATGGGAAGTCAAAATAGTAGTAGTACTTCATAAAAAAAATCCTGTCGGGCTTCGTTGTGGAGTTATTCGCCTTCAAAGAAAGAAGTTTGAAAAACAAATTCCAATTATAACTTCTAAGTCGTTACCATGACAACAATGAAATTTGGGTAATTAAAGTAACTCATGACAATGTTCATTTCTAGGTTTAAACCGATATTGAATATGCCTGGATTATACAGGAGCAGACGAAATTATCCATTTAAATTTATCCTCTCTCACTTTGCTTAAAAAAAAGGTAGGTATACCATATATCAGTCCATATCTTGCACCGTTTTCGAGAAAATCGAATTTTATTAACAACATACATGAATGGTATCAAAAATGCAACTTGTTTCAAAGTAACGTTTTTGTAAAAATCTTGGTTTCTTTGGAAATTGAGATGACTGTCAACAAGTATGTATAAGCAGTTAAATATTTGTCATAAATCATTTTAACACCATTTGTTGATTCAGTATCATGGAGGATTTTAGCTATGAAGATATTGCAGATATTCATATAATGTACGAACTTGCAGAATGTAATGCTTCTGAAGCTGTTCGGATTTACGCCAACCGCTTTCCAAATAGAATTTGCATTATTTGAAGTGACGAAAACCCCCATGTTATTATTCAGACAAAACAAATATTTATCATTAATGTTGGGATGGGAATAATTGGAAGCTACCTATGTTATGGGACCACACATCATTGATTTAAGGACGTTCGATACACCTCTTACGGGGCGGGCGGTGCGGAGAGTATGCCTATGTTTATACACAGGAGTCTTGTTGCAGTACCAACCTTACACAAATTAATTTCAGCGAACTAAGTATGCTATTTAGAATGAAATTTATATAACACATATTAGCTTGCATATTTTTTTCGTGTTTAATACAAGTCAGTTCACTTTTTATTTGAATAAAAGCGTCAATTTATTCATTACGAGCTTGTAAAATTATGGATGAAATCTGGCAACATTGCCATGGCGTGGTGGTAAAAGTTGGGTCAACTGTCATTACTGTCAACTTTGCGCGAATTCCGTAAACATGAATGAACAACCAAGGTACAAAGGAAAAGTAATGNTCACTTTGCTTAAAAAAAAGGTAGGTATACCATATATCAGTCCATATCTTGCACCGTTTTCGAGAAAATCGAATTTTATTAACAACATACATGAATGGTATCAAAAATGCAACTTGTTTCAAAGTAACGTTTTTGTAAAAATCTTGGTTTCTTTGGAAACTGAGATGACTGTCAACAAATATGTATAAGCAGTTAGATATTTGTCATAAATCATTTTAACACCATTTGTTGATTCAGTATCATGGAGGATTTTAGCTATGAAGATATTGCAGATATTCATATAATGTATGAACTTGCAGAATGTAATGCTTCTGAAGATGTTCGGATTTACGCCAACCGCATTCCAAATAGAATTTGCATTATTTGAAGTGACGAAAACCCCCTTGCTATTATTCAGACAAAACAAATATTTATCATTAATGTTGGGATGAGAATAATTGGAAGCTACCTATGTTATGGGACCACACATCATTGATTTTAAACAGGTATAAATACCTATAATTACTGCAAGAACACCTTAACCCGTTATTGGAAGACTTCCCTTTAACTATTTGAAATAACATGTGGCTTCTGCCCGATGGTGCACCACCCCATTTTAGCAGGGCAGTAAGGGCTTTATTTAATACCACGTTCCCCGATCGATAGATCGGTCGAAGTAGTCTTTTTCCGTGGCCGCCTCGGTCTCCCGATCTTAATCCTCTCGATTTTTTATTTGGGGCCATCTTAATAGTCTTGTTTAGCAAACTCCTGTAAATAGTAGGGAAGAATTATTAAATCGCATAATTACATATGCCGACATCATTAGAAATGATCACCACATGTTATTTCGAGTACAGCAGAGCAATTTCAGAAAATACATTGAAGTTCAAGGTGCAGATACTGAATATCTTACTTAACAGTTCTCTTCTTTCATTTAATTCTATAGAAACCAAAATTTTTACAAAAATGTTAGTATCACATTTTTGATTCAATAAATGTATGTTGCAAATAAAATTCGATTTTCTCAAAAACGGTACAAGATATCGACTGATATACGGTCTCCCTTTTCTTTAGCAAAATGAGAGAGGAATCGAACTATGAAAGAAAAATGCCAAATTTAGCAATGCTGTTAAAGATATATAAATTTAAATGGATAATTTCGTCTGCTCCTATACATATAATCCAGGCATATTGAATATCAGTTTAAACTTGGAAATGAACATTACCATGAGTTACTCTAATTGCCCAAATTTCATTGCTGTCATGGTAACGACATAGAAGTTATAATTGGGATTTGTCTTTCAAACTTCTTTCTTTGAAAGCGAATAAGTCCACAACGAAGCCCGATAGGAAAAAATTTTTTATGAAGTACTGTATCTATTTTGACCTCCCCTGTATACCCCTTCAGTTTTGACATGACCTTTCCGGACACCCTGTATAGTTCATTTTTTTTTAAAACACTGAGCTAAACAGACGTTTCTAGATTTATTTATTAACCCTATATGCAATAACTATATTAGCAATTTCTCTTGTCGAAAACTTGTAACTTAATCAGAAAATATCAAATTTCATTAAAAAAATGAGTCAATTCCCATTTTGTTTCAAAGTAATCATGATATAACTTGACAAATTTTTCTTGAGCCCTGAATTAAGCAAAACAAAAATAGTGCACACTTGATGTAGAATGAAATGGAAAAGCAGGCAGCAGCAAACCCATGGTTCCCCACTCTACTAATTGCCACTGCTCATCTTACCTTCAGATTCAACTCAATTTAGTTTAAGTGTACACAATATGTTAAGAAAATGGACTGAACCAGACCAGTGTATCCTACAGTGTTTTGACGCGCTGAATACGAATCTAAAGTCAGAATTCCCGTATATAACCCGGACGATAACCCCATAACTTTATAATTTCATAACCCTATAACCTTGTAACCCCATAATGCGTGCTATGCGAGGGTGTAGAATTACGAAACTCTGTCGAAAGATAGACCTCATACATCAGAAGACCGAAGCTACACGACCCTAACCCCATGACCCCAAAATCTCATAACCTTATAACTTGGATTGCAAGGATATACAAACATGAAACTGTATCATGGATCGCATACATCAGGAGTCCGAAATTACATGAGTTAGTTTCAAGTTTCCCTAACCTCATGACCCCATAATCTCATAACCCCATAACTTGGGATGTGCGAGGGAAGATATATAAATAAGAAACGATATGGTGCCATGGATCTCAAATATCAGTCTGAAACTACATAACTGTGAGATGCAGACCCCCTTGATCCCATAACCCCATAACTTGAGATATGCGAGGATATACAAACACGAAACGGTATGGTGCCATGGATCTCATACATCAGAAGTCCGAAACTACATAACTGAGTTGGCATGCTTCCATAACGCCGTAACCCCATAACAGTAATCCTATAACCCCGTAACTCCATAATCCGAGATGTGGTAAGTTGTGTACTACTAGGAAGTGAGTCTGTAGTTCTGTTATAACTCCTTAATCCCTTAACCCAGGGCATGCAAATTCCTGTTAAGCTCATGATTTAGAGTACCTATACAGTTTTGTATTACTATGTCATCCAAAGTTTTTCCTCTTTGTATCGCACTGAAAAAACGTAATCGTACTTTCCTGATTGCACAATCAGCGATCGTGAGTTTCTACGATTAAAATTGTTCAAGTTCGTGTTTTTGGGTTATGGGGTTATAGGGTTATAGTGCAATGAGGTCATGATTTCCAATGATTTTCCAATCGCTGACTCTTTAAGTCGAATTGATATCTCAAAAACCGCTTTCTGGAGGAGTTTCTTGAAAAAACAAACCAAACCTGGAATGCTGTCTTTATTGTAGCAATGCACCACAGACTACGCTGGTCTGGTCTACGACCCACTCCACTTAATTTGTGACGTCGTGTTATTAGCCGGTTTTAATCATTTAATAAACCTTAAATTAAGAGACATTTAAATTAGCGACTGGTAAGTGATTACTTACGGATCAGGAGGCGTTAAGGTAATCTAATAAATGTAGAATTTTAAAAATCAATTTTTATTAAAGACAGAATTAAAATTACAATTTGAACAAACAACAACTAAATTTCCATGTAAAATCCTGTTTGAAAATTGATTTTTATTTTTCACAAAGTCGTCGACATCCTTTAGCTACAGAGGACGAACGCCACCCACCGTGTCTTTCAAGACCTAAAATATCTATTCCTTGGTTTGCCAGAATAGTGGCAGAACTCCTTCGGATTGCGTGTCAGGTAAGGTAAGTTTTTTCTGTGATATTTTAAATTTTTTTTAGCTAATAGCTTGAAGATTTTCTCAAATCTCTCCTTGAAGTTCTCGGGAGTTATAACTGAGCATCCTACTTGCGAAACATTTTTTAAGTCTAAATCCCCACTTTCTTGAATCATAAATTACGCTTAAGTTGTGGCAAAAATATTATCTTGGAGAAATTTCTAATTAATAGTCACGTAAACAATAAATATTAAATTTAGTCTCTTAATAATAATCAAAGCGAAAACTTTTTCGTGTATGTACGATTAGTTTGTTTTATGTGTTTTTAAAACATAACATTTTTTTGTTTTCATTAAATTTATTCAATATTTGTTCAAAAAAACGTCATAACCACTGCGGTCATTGTCAGTACAGGCCACTTACTGACCTTAATACTTAATATACTATTTAAATACTAATCCGATTGTAGTTCATTCTAATAATTTGTGAGCCTTTAGTTCGTTGATAACTGTTCTGTTACTATATCAAGAGAAAATAATACATTTCACAAAACAGTGTCAAGTCGATGCGGTAAAGAATAAAACAGAACTTATCCGCTGTGATATTTTCTATCATTTAAATATTGACACTGCCTAAAGGCTAAAATAATAACGATAACGGCATCCGCAATAATATCAATCTGATAAGATTTAATAAGACGTTTTATAATACGATGATACGAGTTTTAATATGGTTATTTAACAGTTTCTTAAGTCGACATCAGCCCTAATTATTCCTAATGATTATAGTTATTATTTTATTAGTTTCATTTGGAATGTCTGTGTTTCGAATTCTACTTCCAAAAATATGAGGATTAAAGATTTCTAATGTAAAGGAGGTCGATTTTATAAATTTAGATGATGACTAAGTTGCTTCAGTTTCAATAGATTGAGAATTTAATGTTTTCCTGATATGGTAAAAAATAACCCCATATAGAATGAAAAATTAACTATGTGCGAGACATAATTGCAATTTTATGTAGACAGGGAGGAAGTTGATCTTTTAAAATGTAACGCTGTTCGACAAAGTTAGTCATGCAGGAACAAAGTAATATTTATCTTTGCTTTTTTATAATAAACACAAAATAATCCTTTGTTAGAATAACAGTGTCATTGTATGGAAAGGTAAATAAGTTCAGGTATTTGAACGTGTTGAAAATGATAAAAGTGGACTGGACAGTATTTAGAGAATTTACCTATTCCATTCTGAAAAACCATTTTAGTTATGCATTCTTTAATTTGAAACTATTAGCCAGATGGTATAAATTTATATTATTCGACTTTGTTTTCCTTTCATTTATTTATTGAATTATTTTTTGAAGTAATTTATTCAATCAATAACTAAAAACTTCGTAAATTATTAAGTTTTACTGAAATATTTGGTTGTTACATATGAGGCACTCACAATTTTGCATTAATGATTTTACATTTCATACCTCAAAACTCAGTATTTTGCAAAACTCTCATTTAGGTTACAATATGATACTTCATTTGGAGGTTCTACATTATTTTTTCCGTTATTTTGTATTCCGCCAGAATATAATACGAGTACAGAATACAAAAACTTTGTTTGAGCTTTTGAAAAAAAGAATAGTAGGTAGCTGTCTCTTAACAATTAATTTTCAGTCTAGGGTTACCAGATTAGTACAGTTCAACTGGAGAAATGTTTTATTTCCGTGAAATGATTATGATGATAAAAAATAAACACACTACAACAATATTATCAATTATAATTAGTTCATGTGTGCAGGATGGTCCTTAGCTACGTTCGGATAATAAAAGAGGTAATTCTTTAGTTAATTCTAAGAAAAAAAAACAGGAACATATACTTACCCTAAAAAAGTTTAATTATAAGAATATTAATATGCTAATTGCTAACTGCTAATTTACCTTCAATAGTTGAAAAAAGTCAGGAATTAGCGAAAGCGAATGATCTGGTAATTTTCACATTTAGCAAGAAATTTCAAATATACAGGGTGAGTCATTAATAACGGTACACAGCTTAATGGCATATTGTTAACATCAAAATATAGTGATTGACCCAAACATGCCTTAATCAGTTATTGCTCCTTTTCGTTCTACAGGGTGTTAAAGTTGAAAAAATATTTTTCTTTTTTATCTAAATTTTAAGTATGTATGGACCGATTGTTTTAAAAATTTGTAGTTCTACGTTTTTTGAGGAGGCAAATACGAATATGCAAACAGTGTTGGGGTCACGTTTAGAGGGCGGTAGTTATACTGGCCTATCAATGTAAAAATCTGTTTAACTTTTTGTATTTTACAATTTTGAATTTTTTAACTACAAATTATTGAACTACTTTCAATTCTAAATAAAAAAGGTGTACTAGTTACAAATCGATAAACTAAACCGTTTTCGAGATACAAATGTTTTAAGTTTTTGAGATTCGGCGGAAATTAAATTAGAGCCTGAATTAAGAATTAAAACAAACATTTCAGCAATTAAAGATTTTGTTATGCATATCTTAACAAATTATTAACTACCAGCAACTTCAATGCACTTTCTTAGCCTTTTTTATGAAGATATTCTCTTCTCTAAAAAATAACAAGGAAAAAACTACTTCTTAATCAAATTGAGTAGAAAACAATATGGTATTGTAGTGACAGCTGTCAATTTATTATGTCCATGCGTACTACTTTGGAAAAAATAATTTTCTAATTTAATTCCCGTCGAATCTCAAAAACTTAAAATGTCTGTATCTCGAAAACAGTTGAGTTTATCGATTTGTATCAAGTATACCTTGTTTATTTAGAATTGAACGTAGTTCAACAATTTCTAGTTAAAAAATTCAAATTTGTAAAATACAAAAATATAGACATATTTTTACATTGACAGGACAGTACAACTAGCGCCCCCTAGACGTGACCCCAACACTATTTGCATATTCGTATTTGCCACCTCAAAAAACAAATTTTCAAAACAATACTTAAAATATAGATAAAAAAGAAAATACTTTTTCAACTTTAACACCTAGAACGAAAATGAGCAACAATTGATTAAGGCATGTTTGGCTCAATCGCTATATTTTGACGTTAACAATCTGCCATTAAGCTGTGTACCATTATTAATGACTCACCCTGTATATATTGGGCATAGCAATACGTATGTGAATTAATACGTAGCCAAATAAATTCCGCCAAATAATGGTAAATTATTATGCATCAAATTTGAAGGAATCGATCTATTTAAATTTTCTTTTGATCTTTTAGGGAAACTTAAAGAATCAGTGGATTTAAACTGTAACTTGTGCTTACGCCAATTAAATGTGATACGTGGAATTATGATGGAAAAAAAGAAGAGCAATTGCAATATATTCGGTATACTTCAAGTTTATTGTCTGAAATTTTCTTTTTTCATTTTGTTTATAAATATTGACTCAATAGAAGACATTGCAAGTGCTTCACGTTAACTTGTGTGTCCGTTTATACTAGGGAATAACGATGACATTAGATCAGAGTCCCTGGATGAATTTCACTGGTCTTCGTAACTGGTCAGATGTTTACAAGGCTTGTTGAAATGATAAGAATCTGCCAATAATCATTCTGCAATAATAGATTTCTCTTTTTCTTTATTAAAAACAGATCCATTAACTATTAAACCATTTCTGAAGAGATGTTCTTTATAAATAGGTAGCAGGTAGCTATACAAATATAATATTATATAGAATTATTTCATTTAAAAAAATTGGGGTAGAGCTCGACGATGTTTTGCGACATGCCAATCTACAAACATTTGTATAAAAAATTATAAAGTATCATGTATTCTATCATATGCAACCCACAAAACATTTTAAGTACCTACATGATAATGGATTACATTGCAATTTTTCTTTTGAAGTCAAAATCAAGTGTCCTTGTTATTTACAATTGCTCCAACTAAATTTGAGTTTGAAGCAAATTAAGAAAATAAGAAGTATTTAATCAGAATTATGTACAGATTCATTTTCCATAAGAGTCCATTTTTATTTATAATATCTTCCAGCTAAAGGGTAATATTAATTTTCTGAACTTTCACATTCAACCACTTCTGTACCTCTTCTGCTAAATGAGTCTTTTCTGTTTACTTTATACAGTCCGTACAATATTTGTTGAGTTAGAATTCCAAGAACTACTGTAACAATTTACTCCGACAAGGTCGTGCCTTGAATTTTCCACCAATGTCTTTCTACCTCAGGTGTCGAATGCGGTTAATTCCAAAAAAGTGACGCTAGTGTCTTCTTAGAATTCTATCTCAACAAAATATCGTACGCACTGTACATACATACAAATTCCATTTACATTCATTCATATTGTAAAGGAAATAAAAACAAATGCTTCTCTTTAATTACAAATAATTTATTGAACAGTAGTGTATGTTTAAGTATATATTTTACAAGACGTAGGTAGTAGATAAGTTTTACATCTTTTAATACTTAATATACATATATTAAATATATAAATCTCTTTACAAAGCAAGTAATAATTAGGTACATCAGAATTTCTAATAAACTAATATAGTTTAAGTTATCAAATCACTTGATTTTGCTTTTCCCACAGGTCGAATAATTAGTGATGTCGATCGAGGTGCACTGGTCAAACTTTGGGTCTGCAACATAATATTTATGTGTGACATACTCCCCCACATAAAAGCATTTAGTATAAAGAAGCAAAGCATAAAGCCATCTTACATTTAAAACTTAAAATTGAAATATGTCCATGATTAGTCAAACTCGCTCGATTTCAGTGTCTCATAAATTAATTAAGATTGAAAAAAATGATGAGACAATTTACAAAATCAAATTTCCAATAATTAATTATTAGGTAATAAAAAACGCAGTCAATAATAGCCTTAAAAACTGTAGAAAGCTCAAAAATGGTACTGTAAGTTGAAAGTTTTAATAACAATATTAGTTATGTTAGTTGCAATGTGTAGTTAGCACTAGCAATAAAAAGATTTGCAAATCTTGCAACGAAAATGGGAACAAAAACAAAAATAATTTCAATTCTACAAAACAAATGCATTTATATAGAAAAAAATAGTTCTCACTTTAAATGTGGAGTAAGGTTTAAAGGAATACGTTAATATTTATTAGTTTAAATTAATCAGAATTGCGTGACCAAACTTACATGGATGTCACTCCATTAAATTACAGTTTTTCGTTCGACAATTATGTTTTTAAATTTAATATTGTTATGACATCACGAATGAAATTTTAAAAAAACTCATTTTCATAATATATCTTAATCCTCAATTTTTGAAATAATTTAATTAGGCTTTTTCCTTTCTTCAAAAAAAAAAACTAAATCATAGGTTCACAATGTTTTCACTAGAATAACTCGATAGACTCGATCACTCCAAACTGTTGAATAAATTTAGCAACTTAGGTCTATGTAATGGTTTAATAAAATTATTTCATTCATATCTCCGTAACCGATCCCAATATGCTTATTATGCACATGAGTACATCCATATAAAATGGGTCGTTTATTAAAAAAATATGGCACATTTAATATAAGGGAAAGTGAGACAAAAACTTAGTAAAGAATTTGAATTGTAAAAAATTACCAATGAGTAGATTAGGAGAACGGAAAAAGCCATACACAAAACCTTGCTTCTTTCATTTTTTTACGATTGTACGAGTATTGTACGTGTTTACATATTTGCCTTTATTAAAGAAATAAATAGTTACCTCCAAATTTCTTGGAGTTTGATATTCGGAGGCATTTCTTCTCATTATGCCGTGTTTATACGGATTAAACTTCTGAGAACTCCTACTTTTCGTAGAAGATAACATGATTATGTCTTGTTTTTTCTTTTTGCGTTCGAAGAATAACTTCATAAATGTGCTTCGAAATTTTTTAGAAAAAACACAGTATAGTAAAAAGTTACAAGAGGCATTTACTATGCCGAGAAAATTAAAGAAGTTACCTAAAACTAAAAAAAAATGAATGTTAGCGTTTCGCAATATTATTATGAAATTTACCTTTTTTAATGTTCTCTTCTCTTGAAGTTTTAGATTTGTGAAAACTGTTATAAATCAAAATTGATGCAGTAGGAGTGTGACAAATTATGAATAATATTATAACTCCGATCAGCATGAGAGTTATCCTTTTTTCATTTGTATGTCCAATACTTTCCTATAAGGGCAGATACAGTTATCAAAAGAAAACAAACTGATTGGAAAGAAAGTAAATAAAGAATATCTTTTTACCTGTGAATTTGTCATTTGCCTTCTCATCTTTTGGGACAGGTAAACAGCTCGAACCAAGAATGAATTGAATGTGGCAATAAGAATCAAGGGAATTAGACAAAAACATAAAGAACTATACCAATACATTATGGTCATGTACGTATCATTCTTTCCAAGACTCGTAGACTCTTCATCAATTGTATAATGCTTAATGCAACAAGTCTTATTTCTCAATTCTAATTCGGTTTTGTTATCGGTACTATCCAAATAAGTGGTACTATTGATGGGTGGTTTCTCCAGAACAGGTTCCAATGTACTTTGAATTTTGGACGTCATATACGAACCATCAGTGTCCAACTCCTTCACTATAATATCTGGTTTCGTAATCTTATCTTTAGAAACATTTAAAGCTAAAGGAGGAATATATATTATACAAGGTTGCAATTCGCAATTAGTAAGAATAATTAGTTTTAACTTTTTAAAATACTTTTCATCTAAATTGGGATGTGAAGCTATACTACCGGGTGGGAAATTTGTATTGAGCATGATGGTATGATTTATGATATAATGATTATCAGTACCATTGTTAAGTGAACTCTGCGTTGGTTGAAGTTTCTTTATGTGTGTTTCACAGTCTTCCTGTATGCACGTTTCGTTCAGGTTCAACTGGTATTCGAAGCTTGTAGATGCAGTAGTTAGAATGCATAAAATATACACTATTACGATTACGCTCTTCGCTCTTGTTTCTGTACAAAAAAATTTGCCCTTTATAGGATGACATACTGCTATGTATCTTTCTACTGTAAATGAGACCGTTAGCCATACTGACGTGCTGCCTAAAACATAAACACTCTTATTGGTAAAACAGCTTAATCATTTATCACTAATAAAGAGTGTTCCAAAATTCACGCAAGAAGTAATTTTGATAGGAAACCCAGGATTTGGATTAAAAAATCTAAATTTTTTATGGATTCATAAAGTATGTAGGTACAGTATAGGGTTATGAATGGAGTAACATGTCAGATAAATGGCCTCCACGGCTTTGCTGGCACATATGCAGCCTTTTGTTGATATTTTGCTTGATCGTTTTACATAAATGCGGCTAAATTTCGTTGATATAGCGCTCAATTTCATCCATCAAGATGTGGGTGGTCGTGAGCTTGTTGGCATAATAAACCAGGCATTAAAGAGAAAAATAACTAGATTTTCGCGGCCCTGTCCGATTTTAATGCGGTTTTTTGCGTTTTGTTCAGAAAGACCGTCGGAAAAAAGTCCCGCCTTTTTTATTATCTGGAAGTGGCGGAAATGCATCGCGGGTGCATAAAGTGCATCTAGAAGTGCATCGCATCCGAGAAACTTGTCAATGTGCACGAAATACCGCAAAAATTGGCACCCGGGGGTTTTGGGGGACGCAGAATTCGAATATGCATATATCCAGTCCACCCGACCCCCCGGGGGGCGACTTCCGGCCGCCTGGGGGCCCGGGGGGCACTTGAATTACAAGGTTCTCCGAATGACTAGAAAAATGGGTCTCGGGGGTTTTCGCGGGTGCTGATTCCGAATTCGAGGATGAAAAATATCCCCTGTGCTCGTGGAGGGGGCGGTGGTGGTGGGGGGTTATGAAGACTGGAAAAATGGATCTCGGGGGTTTTCGCGGGTGCTGATTCCGAATCTGAGGGTGAAAAATATCCCCTGTGCCCGTGGAGGGTGCGGTGGGGGGCATGGGGGGTATGAAATCTAAAGTTCTCGAAATGATTGGAAAAATGGATCCCGGGGGTTTTTGCCGGTGCCGATTCCTAATCTGACCCTGCCAAATGCGTCTGATGACTATTTCTGATTATTTTGGGGTAGCGCGTTAATCTTCTATGAATATAAATTAATAGAAAATCATGGAACGAAACTCGAACTAAAAAGTTCGGTTGGAAAAAGAAAGGATAAGCCTGATAATTTTTTAAATATATTTATTGTTCTAAAGTATAAAAGTACATTCATTGTTTTAAAATATATATTGTCTTAAAATATATTCAATGCACATTCCTTCTGTATCATTTGTCACACGGGCTCATTTATCAAACAACTATAAAATACCAATCAAAATATATCACTAACATCACACGTTATAATTTTCTATCCCCAAAATACTCTTTATTCCATGTTGCCAGTTCATGAATATTATAACCTTCCTCCTCTCCATCGCCCCCTCCACGAGCACAGAGGATATTTTTCACCCTCAGATTCGGAATCAGCACCCGCGAAAACCCTCGAGATACATTTTCCCAGTAATTTCGAGAACTTTATATTTCATATCCCTCCCCCCCACCGCCCCCTCCACGAGCACACGGGATATTTTTCACCCTCAAATTCGGAATCAGCACCCGCGAAAACCCCCGAGATCCATTTTTCTAGTCATTCGGAGAACCTTGCAAACCAAGTGCGCCCCGGCCCCCCAGGCGGCCGGAAGTCGCCCCCCGGGGGGTCGGGTGGACTGGATATATGCATATTCGAATTCTGCGTCCCCCAAAACCCCCGGGTGCCAATTTTTGCGGTATTTCGTGCACATTGGCAAGTTTCTCGGATACGATGCACTTCTAGATGCACTTTATGCACCCGCGATGCATTTCCGCCACATCCGGATAATAAAAAAGGCGGGACTTTTTTCTGACGGTCTTTCTGAACAAAATGCAAAAAACCGCATTAAAATCGGACCGGCCGCGAAAATCTAGTTATTTTGGGGTAAATCGTTCTTTATTGCCTGGTCTATAAAACTTATACTTAGAAAAACCCCAAAGAAAAGAGTCCAACGACGCTAAATCGCATGATCTGTGTGGCCAATTCTGATTACACGACCAGGAAATGACACATGCAGTAATTGAATTGTTTCACTTGATTTATAACATGTGGCACCATCTTGTTGAAACCACATGTTGTCTACATCCATAACCTGCAATTTAGGTACAAAACTATACTCCGCGATAGAAATTATAGAGAGTGACTCATCGCTAGCTTTTGGACTAGTAAGGGGGATGAAGCGTGCCGGGAACGAAAATTCATTGGCGTGTCTGCGTAAAAGGCAACAAAATATAGAAAATATTGAAAAAAGATAATAAAACATAACATCTAATTTTTTTACGATTTGCTATAACCGGCACTTTGATCCATTTTAATTATTACAGCATTTTAAAACGTCCCAGTTGTGTTTTTTTAATTTATAAATTTATTATATCCATGGAATAGATCCCTCGTGTACGCTTATGCTATGACGTTTCTCAGGACGGATAAATCAAGTCCGTTTACACCTACTAAAAAAGCATTTCCCTATTCCCTACCAAGTGCAAAAGACAGAGATAAAATATAGATCGACGACCAGTGTAACTCAGTCTATAGACGATTATAGATTCTATCGATGTGCGTAGCGAGCGGCACAAAGATAAATAATATTGAACCGTATAAAAATCATTTTATATTTTATACGCATTATGGTAATAGTGTTTTTATATTATGTCTGAGTCACTCTCTATAATTTCGACCGCGGAATATAAATTAGCTGTCGCCATTAACTGGTATTGCCTGACCAGTCGCCTTTTCGATGAAGAATGGTCCGATGATGCTCCAGCCCAAAATCCTCACCAAACAGTGACACGTTGCGGATGCATTTGTCTCAACAATCACCGAGATCATCAAGATGAAAATGAGTCTCGCTGAAGATAATTTTGTTCGAAAAATCAGCATCCATTCAACGAACTCTTTTCGCTCTGCGTGATCAGTAGGCTTCAGTCCTTGAGTCAATTGAATGTTCTTGGACTATCAGCAACACTCTCACGAACTGCTTCGATGTTTTGTGTTGAACGACTTGTTGAAGGACGGCCAGAGTGTTTAATATGACTAATTGATCCAGTCTCCCATAATTGTTCAATTAATCTTCGCAGTTGATGAAGTTAAATCACTATTTCGACCATATTCTGTACGAAAATTGCGAACTATATCTGCCAAATCTCCATTATTTTTAAATAATACTCAACAATGAAAGCGCGTTGTTCTTTTGTCCATTTTTAATAACCCTGAACTGTCAGCTGTCATGCTGTCTTTTTTTTCGTTGGCGACACTTTACCGTACAAATGGCGCAAAATTCAAATGTTACGTGAATTTTGGAACATCCATTATAAAGGTTAAAATTAAATATTAAAATAAACGTTTGCCTAATCATAGAAGGCCTTCAATTATGCGGTGTTATAGTTGGAACATCTATATACAGCTTATTGAAAACAAATCGTGTATATAGAACAATTTTTTGTGGTAATGTTTCCCTTATTAAAATTTAATTTAAATTTAATAATAATATGGCAGGGGTAGATTGAAATACCCATAGAGCGGGTTAGATTAAATCTATTAACATATTAAAAATCTGCTAAAGGAAGTATAAATACTCGTACGATGTATTTATATACAGGGTGTCTCGTAATTAGTGTCCAATAATTTACCACTTGATTCTATTGTCAAAAATAAGAATATTTTTTCATATAAACATGGAACGAGAAATGCTTCTTAAGGGAGCTACGACCCTTTTTATTTTAATATTTCCGAAACGGGTTGTTGGAAAATTATGAATTTCGACACCATGAACGCTCATTAATAGTCGAAATAGATCATCATAAAATTTTTGAAAAATTTTAGTCAGGGGCGTCTCAATTGGAGGGTCGTCGGTTAAAATTTGCCCCTATTTAGTGAAAGTGAAAAAAAAACACGTAAATTTGCAATTTGCCAACTTCTTCACTTCACTTCTTTCGAATTACTTTTTTGATATTATCATTCTACATACCTCTCCTCATCATAAAGTGCAATAAAATGTCTACTAATATTTTTTTACGTTGAAACTCTAATTCGACTGGAATATGCCTTTGATGACTTTGTCTAAATATGAATTATCAATAACCATAAACGTACACCAAATTTGGTACTGGTACTTCAACTATTTAAAATTGTCTGTATTTTAAAATGCTTAAAAAAAATCATTGTTAATAGATCATCTTTAAGATATTATCTTTGTAAGCTATTGGAATTGATCTCTAGTGTCAATTTATTGGCAGTAAATTTAAAGGACGCCCCGTATAACTGAGTTTTATTTTCCCTGTGGACTGGCTAAATTCATTATTGTGAGAAACAGGGTTAAGTAAGCAGATAAAGAAACTTTATTTATTCTTAGTAGTTTATATATTGCCTAAATGTTTATATTGTCTAGAAAATTTAAACTTTCTATAGTGGTGATAGACTATTTTAACTGCAGATAAAATGCAAGAAATCTCTTTTGACTGGCCTGCTTTACACATAAAATGTTAAATTATACCTAATAATTTGTTTTCGCTGCGGTGATAGATATTACTTTATGATTTACTGAAATGTATGTAGAGTAAAATACTTGAAATTAACACATCTATTGTAAAATACCCAAGTATAAGTAAATCTAGTTCCACTGATTATACGTATACCTTTAAATATAAACATTTAGCTTGAAAAGTTAAACATTTAATTACCTACTTGTTTATTGATTCTAACTGCACTGTGTTGTTTAAATTTTTTTGCAGTCTTAATTAAAACGCTTCATGCAATCTTATAGTCTTGCTGTAATTTATCTATTGGGTATTACTTATAACAAAATAATAGCATTATCAGAGATTTGAAATAAATCTACAGTACAGGAGTCCGTACTATAAAAAAATGTCATAATATGCATATGTTTTTTATTAATATACTTTTTTGCCACCTCTCTTTGTGTTGTCTCGAAAATAAACTGCTAAACTCTTGAGAAAAATGTTCAAAGCTTTAACTCATAATCGATGACAGAAAATTTTCTCATTTTCTCTTATTAAAGTTTGTCAAACTTAACAACTGTTGCTATCAAATACTTTAATTTCATTTTAATTCCAATATTTGCGTTGAATTGTTATTATAAATAATGTTGGGTTCAAAGAAACAACATTGATACAAATTGTTATTGACCTCATTTATGGTGCACACAAAAACTTACTTGCAGCATCACAAAACCAAAACATTATTCCCAGAAATCTCCAATACAGTTCATATTTACCATCGTGAATATTGGAATAATGTTTGAACGATAATAGTAATACGAAGAATAGATGAATAATATCAGCTATAGCAAGTGCAGAGAGATATATATTCGTTGAACTTCTCATTCTTCGCCTGAAACAGAAAATAATAATAGAAAAATTTACTAACTATTGCTAATTTTAGTATTATTGGAGATGTAGAATCCCGTAAAATACAGAAGAAATTGTACTTTTTTTTATGCAGGGTGGCCAAATGAAAACGAAACAGAGCCATTTTCAGGAACTGCGTCAAGATTGCAGAAAAACGCTCAGACCCGTCGATTTTAGAATGAAGGGGGACATTCTTTGCTGATATTTTTGACTCCCCCACTTACTGATGTTTACCCTCAAGCAAGGGTAAACATGAAACACCCCAAAATATTTAAATGGCACTGGGGGTTGAGTAATATTTCTTTTGAAAGCTATTACAATTCTCTTTACAACAGACTTTAAATTTTATAATTCCGCCCAATACTTATTAAGAATTTTGATTTTAAAGTTGAAACTTATGTACAAACAATTAGTAACGGTAAAAATGTCAGTCATTCGAGTTAAGTACGCCAATGGTATAAATTTAGTATTTCTTGCGTTACATTGGTTTTTGGCGATTTGTTATCACTTTCGTAAAAAAAACACAATTGTAAAAAACAGAAATGAATGCTATACACACACAATGAACGTAAAATTAGTGGATTCCAAATTATTTTCTAGTATTATTTGGAAGCGTTGGTTGGTAGTTTATTTAATTGTGTTTTTGAAAATTAAACACTATGGTTTATTCCATTGCGGAAAGGGTAGATATCATTTCGCTTTACTTTATGAACAATAAATGTGCGAATAGAACAGCTCAGCTATTTAATGAACAACATCAAGATCGACATGTCAGGAGGAAGTATGTTCTAGAGTTAGTAAAAAAATTTCAAGAGACAGGGAACGTAGCCAATAAAAAACGAGAAATTGAAAAACCTATAGTTAATGAAGCTAGTGAAGTTGCAGTTTTGGGACAAGTTCATCTTGATCCTACATTAAGTACGAGGCAGCTGGCATCTGTGTCTGGGATCAATCGAACTAGCATACAAACCATTTTGAAGAAGAATAAATTCCATCCATACAAAATACATTTAGTCCAGGAACTTCATGAGGATGATTATGACCGCCGTTTGCAATTTTGCGAAATAATGAGTGAGCGAGCAGGGAACGATCCACAGTTCCTTTTTAACATCTGTTTTTCTGATGAATGCAGTTTTTTCTTGAACGGGACGGTAAATCGTCACAATTGCCGCTATTGGTCCGATTCAAACCCAAGAGTTTTTCACGAGGTGCATACACAGCAACCGGAAAAATTAAATGTATGGGCTGGAATTTTCGGTGACCGGCTGGTGGGTCCTTTTTTTCTACCTGGTAATTTGACTGGCCAAATGTATTTGCAATTACTGGAAGACGCTATTGACCCTGCCTTGACTGATATTATTGAAAATGTTCCAGAGTATGATGAAGATCATTTGATTTTTCAACAGGACGGTGCTCCTCCGCATTATGCGTTAATTGTCCGTCAGTATTTGGACCAACGTTTTCTACGGAATTGGATTGGGAGAAGAGGCAGCATTGAGTGGCCTCCACGATCACCGGATTTATCGCCCCTTGATTTCTTTTTGTGGGGATACCTAAAAAGTAAAATCTATAAAACACAGCCAGCGTCGCTGGAAGATTTGCGTCAAAGAATCGTCGACGAATGCCGTCGAATCACTCCGGAAATGCTTCGGAATGTGCGCGAACGTTTCGCACAAAATCTTTATTCTTGTATGGTAGCGGCCGGTCATCAGTTTGAAAATTTAATCAACTAAGTAGTAAGTAAGCAACTAAACATAATTTAAATTTTAAAATGTAAATTTTTTTCAAAGTATTAGGCGGAATTGTAAAATTTAAAAAGAAAATTGTAAGAGTTTCCAAAAAAAAATATTACTCAACCCCCAATGCCATTTAAATATTTTGGGGTGATGTTTACCCTTGCTTGAGGGTGAAAGTGGGGGAGTGGGTGCCGGTAAGCAAAGAATGTCCCCCCTTCAATATAAAATCAACGGGTCTAAGCGTTTTTCTACAATCTTGACGCAGTTTCTGAAAATGGTTCTGTTTCGTTTTCATTTGGCCACCCTGTATATTAACAGTCAGTACAGTAATAGCACAGTAATAAAATGGTGTCTCTTAGATCTTTTTATACTATCTTGCCGATTTAGACAAAATTATGTGCAGATATTGAGGTATTCTTGATAATTTCCTGGATTTTATAATGTTGCTTGAATTTTTGTTTTTAGTTAATTATGTAGAATATATGTTGTTAGAATATTTACTTTTATTTTTAATTAAGTACTTGGTTAAGTAGCCAGCTCAAATTTTATTATTTGTCTGAGTAGATATGTGTTACAAAAAAAGTAAATTATTTAGAACATAACATCGAAGGAACATTTTTCTGTAAAATTCATTATTTTTATTTTTACTAATAAACTTTATAGTCTTATTAAATAAATTAGTATTATATATTTAATTTACATTTTTTATTACTTTATTATTGGGACATACTTAAATACCACTCTGTATATAATATTTCTGCTGAATCAAATAAAACGTAATGTTTATCACAGAATATTCCTATTTTAAAAGCACAAGTGTAAATTATCGTTTTAAATAACGCAAAAAGTATAATAGGTTTTACAGAAAATTGAATACCTAGCAGCTTTAAAATGGCAATTAAGGAATAATAGGCAAAATATAACTGGCAACACGCGATTTATTATTATTAACGTAATGCATTTTGCAGTTTGAATTATGTTATTCTTTCTCATTAGCGTATGTGTTTCTGGAAAAATAGTGAAATGTTTGAGGATATTTCTTCTTTGTAAAGTAAAACGAATAGGTGTACATTTCATAGTGTTTTACCTAAAACGAAATTAGCATAAATATAGATAAAAGAATTACACAAAAAAAAATTTTGACGATATATGAGTACAACAACTTAAACATTTTTAATTGTTATTAAGTAACTGTGAAATAAACGCAAATATTTTTGTTTAATTTAAGTTAGAATTAAATTTAATCAAAGTGATATCTAGAAACATGTACAACTTACAGTATCTTGTACAAATTTTATGAATAGATTTTATTATTTATTATTAGTACATTCTTTAAGATATTCATAAAGAAATTTCCATTATTCCCTACACATGAAATGAATTTAAAACTATGGCATTGAATTACAACCCCAATATCTAAGATCATTCGTCGGAAGTCGTTGGAGTTCTCGTTAGTGTGCCTTAAGTGAGACAACCGACGAATGGAGTTATTTGGATGTACATCTACATACATATTTTGAGTATTGGTCAGATATATATACCTAAAAAGCATATGTCATATCTTCAAATATCTTTGTTACCTTATGTCCGTGTACCTACCGATAAAGTGACCTACTAATCTATAGGTCCTATGAACGCATAACTAGTAGGTACTACACCGAGCGGAATAAACTTTATAACTAATGATGTTTGAAACATCTACCCCACGACCATAAACAAATACTCAATTGCAATTAACTATTATATAGCAAGTCGATTTACCGATTTCCAAAGTAGGTACAGCTAATATATTTTTTCCATTCTTTTCGATAGTAGGTATTATTTGCCCCAGTAACCGATTTCTCAAACATATTTCTGTATTTTTTATACTATTTTATATTAATCTCTGTTGGATTATTTCTTATTTCATTGAATATACCAGGTGTTCAAAAAGTTTGAAACCCTCCCTTTATCTCAGAAAATAATGCTCAAATAAAAAAATCATTAAGGCAAAAATTGCAGGGTTTTGAGTGTGCAATCCAACGGTGACCTTGACCATGAACTTGAAGGTCATTTAGAGATCAAGTTGAAAATTTTAAATGGAACCGTATACTTTTGACCCTGGAAATGGAAAAAATTACTTTGATGGTCAAGGTCATATTCGAACGTAAAAATTTCCATTTTACCCATTTCCGGGGTCAAAAATATACGGTTCCATTTAAAATTTTCAACTTGACCTCTAAATGACCTTGAAGGTCATAGTCCAGGTCACCGTTGAATTGCTCACTCAAAACCCTGCAACTTTCTGAACACCCGGTATGTATAATGTTATCTTTTTTTGTTTTAATAGATTTCAGCGGCTGCACGCTGTCGCCCTCTGATGGGTATGAGTAAAAATAAACTCAGTTTAAAGCCACAAAAAGTTGTTTATATGTGTTTTTTTTTNTAGTTTATAAGTGCGAGCTACGGTTTCTGCCTCCTGGTTTTCTAACGGGATTGCTTCTGGCCACCTGGTGAAACGGTCTGCGCAGGTTAAGCAGTAGCGGAAGCCCTCAGATGGCGGCATCACGACGATATCCACGTGGATATGTTCAAATCTCGTTGACGAAGGTTGAAATGAATCTGTCGGAGATGTCACGTGTCGCGTTACTTTTGCGCGTTGACATTCGACGCAGCATCGTGCCCATTGTCTGCTATCACGTTTTATTGACGGCCAAACGAAACGTTGCGTAAGGAGCTTGACTGTGGCGTTAATACCGGGATGCGAAAGACGATGCATCGAGTCGAACACTACTCTACGAAATGGCTTGGTGATAAACGGCCGGGCCACGTCTGTAGATACGTCACAAAATACAGTCGCGTTTGTGTCAGGTATTTTGATCCGCTTTAGTGTGAGGCCGTGTTGTCCGTCGATGTACTTCTTGATTTCGTCGTCATTTTGTTGCGATGCTGCGAGTGCCTCATAGTCTAAATTCGCGCGTATCTCGTTTACCCTGAACAAGGCATCCGCTACAACGTTTTCGCGACCAGCCATGAGACGAATGTCTGTCGTAAACTGGCCAATGAAGTCTAGATAGCAGAATTGTCGCGGTGTACACTGACTCGACTTCTTCGCGAAGGCAAACGTGAGAAGCTTATGGTCGGTGCAAATCGCGAATGTTCTTGCCTCGACCATATGCCGGAAGTATTTGACTGCTTCGTAAATCGCAAGAAGTTCGCGGTCGTAAGCAGCGTATTTGCACTGAGCTGGGTTAAGTTTTTTCGAAAA